GTCCAAAAGTAGACTGGCCGCTTGGACGTGTTGTGTGCCCTCTAAAATATGGTCCTTTACAAGAAAATTGATTCCATAACGCTTAACATGTGACATTTTCTTATTTCGTATTTATGTATGTTTATTAAGAACCGAAGTAGCACTAAAAGAGTTACCGGATCATACTCCATATGAAGTTTATTATCGAGTCCCTCATTTCAAACTATGCAAGGGTAAAAAACATTGATCCCAATAACGTCGTTTCTCTGAGGGAAATGGTAACAATTCTAAGGCTTTAGGCCAATCAATATAAGAAGATATAACCCAAGAAAGCCTAATGAGACATGAAGTATCAAAAAATGCAGATAGAGATGTTTCGTTTCAATTTTCAAAATTTCAATCTGTCAAATCATGGCTGGAAAGTGGAATCGCAAACGGAGCATCCAGATTTGTATTAAATCCAAATTAAGTTTGGCTTTGAACTCGCTTGGCTCGAAATTACTAAAATATATATACCATTAACAAATAACTTTGAATACATTTAAATAGGCCTACTGCATAAATAGCCAATGTTAACATTAATTTCATTACAGCCAGGAAAATATAATCAACTGATAAAGTGGTAACCCCGTATAAAATATACGTCTCTGCATGCTTACTTCAGTGTAACTACTTAGAATCGAAACTGAAATTCAAGTATACTTTAAAGGTATTGGCCTAACAGTATTTAAACATGGATATGAGCCATGATCCATTAGTGTACTGGTGAAACTAAAATATTTCATCAATGTAAATGAATAGGTGACAAAATAAAACTTACATGGACTCAGACTATACTATATAAAGTATGATACTTACAAAAGAAAAACAATATTAATTAATTATTATTGATATTGAACATAAATTTTAAAGAATAGTGGAATATTGTGGGGACATGTTCCATGACCATGAACTAAACTAAATACTTGACAGTGATAAATGCCTATAAACTTTAAGGGGAAAAAACATATTTCAAAACAATTTGATCAAGTCTGCTATGTACAAGTATGAAGTTCATATTATTGAATTGGCTACATGTGTCTATTGTTTGATACAGCATGACTTATTGTCGATAGATGGTATTATATATAATACGGCGAAATTGGTTGTTAGATAGCACAAGTCACTTGCTCCCTAAAATGACCATCAGTATTTGTATATTTCAATGGTTAACCTGGCGGATAATTGTTTAGTGGATCACTGGGATTAGAGGTTCTAGTGTATAACGATGATGTCGTACATGGTTGTGGCTTATCTAGATCCTCGGCAGTAGCCATAGCTGTCAAATAAGTGTCTGATTGTACTGAAAGAAAGGAAATTAATAATATAAATTATATACTATTGGATATCAATTTAACTTTTTTCATAATATTACAAATTTGATAATGTAATGAAAGTAATTGCAAGTAATGCTAATATTTGGGATTTCAGATACATTTTAATTTGAAGCAAAATAAGCAGGAACATCAACATTATGGAATTTAATTTAAAATATTCAATGGAACGATAAATATTTTGTTTGCTTCTTCAAGGTGATCTTGACGTGACGAATCATACCTTCAAATTTAATAATTTCGGTACAGTACAAGAAAACCGATTTCACATAAAATTATCAAATGGAAACTTCCGGTGAGGTAATTGGTGCAGTTGTCTTGCACTTCATATCAAATGGGGTTTCAGAAAATATTCGCGACAATTAAATTCCAAAAAGCAGAGATAAATTTTTACACTAATCACTTACTTTCTTTCATTTTGAGGCTATCAGGATTGGAATAGTGTGGCTCGGCATATCCTTGTCTTCGTCGTAGCCGACAACAAATAACAAGTAACACAATACTGATCAGGACAAATATAACTACCAATGCAATTAATACATATGTAACTGTGATGTCCCTTTCACTAGTCGAATCTCTGAAATCATAGGACATACATTGTCATATTTTATTCGACATTTGTTAATCCACATTTAACCCTTGTGCTAGAACTTGGGGTATTTCGGGACCCCAGCACCGATTTTTTTCGAATTTCCAAAATGCCATCGAAGATAGCAGTTTAGTTATTTCAAACATTGTAGCTGAATGAATTTTTAACCTGTTCATGATCAGTCTACTGTGCAACAATCACAATTAGCGGATATGTTACCCTTATAAATTGAAACACACCATGCTAGTATGTTGGGGTTCAGTTAGACCCCAGATAAATGCAGTGCTAAAACTGGATTTCAGTGAAGAAAATTAAATTGTAATTTACTCCTGAGTTATCTTAGGTTAAAGTCAATTTGGCACTAAACCGAAATGTCCCCATGTCAAAATTGTCCCAAAAGTCAAAATTAGTCGAAATGACCCCAAATACAATAGTCAAAATGGCCCCCGAAAATTACTCTTTGATTTCAGCCAACAGTTGAAATTATAATTAGTAGCTTATCTGAGTGATTATCAAAGACTAATAAGAAAAAGAAAAAAGACAGTAGTTTATAGCTTATTGAAGTGATGATGTGTATATTTGTTTTGAAATAAATACTATTTAAACCAAGTCAAATTTTTCCATGACAGCCAAGTGGGGCCGAGTTTCAATACACCTGTAAGAATTGTATTGTACCATACGGAAACTATTAAAAAATCTTAACATTGACACAGTACATTATTTCAAAGATTAAGATTAATCTGCTATACACACCAATTAATTCAAATTATTAAATAAATTTATGGATATATTCAATATGAAGAGTACATAATATTTTACCAAGATGAGACCTGTTCAATATAAATACAGGTCAGTTGAGACTGGTGAAATTACCTTGCTGCACTAATAAAATGCCAACAACTCTTGATATTTTTTCCCGACAGGATATGCCGTGTTACGACCAAAACACCCCTATCTTATTGGTCCCTGATCCAATCCCTCTACACCTATTTCGGCACCGAAATACAAACAACATACGGTCAAAACATTAATATATTATTTATTGTTAAAGTTGTTCAATGAAATAAAAAATTATTTGGTACCATTTTGACCACTTTGTAGGGGATATTTCAACTAATTTTGGGGCCATTTTGGTTAAAAATTTACTATAACACCTACTGAATCTCGGGGGTCCTGAAGTACCCCAGTAGATCAAATTTGAGTTTTTTATACATAAATTTCAAATTATCAATAAATGTTATTACCATATCAAGTTAAGCTAGCTACTTTTGAAATCATGACCAATTGGTCAATAATTGAATCAAAACAGATGCACTCTGCTCATCCCTAGATCACAACCCGACCCTTATGTAATATTCTAGATTATAGGTTTGGCTTGAAGACAGATGACTTTCGCATATAGATATAACTATCATCTTGAATAATTGATTTGGTCAACAAGGAGTCTTTATAAAGTATTATTTGCCACACCTGGGAATATATTTTATGTTCTTTTGTTCAAAATTTCCATTATATAATAGGGGTTCCCAAATACCCCAGGTTCTATCCAATGTTATTCAAACGACGTGCTAGCACAAGGGTTGAAGTCTTGTTTCTTAAGGATTACTCAAATTCTGGGTTCAAAGTTATCTTGTGTTATGAACACAACGGAGCAGTGCCTTGGTGTAATGGGTATAAGTAATTTCCATGATTTAATACGTAGGAAAATGAACTTGCTACACTTTTTATACATAGAAACATGACAATAAATGTAAGAATAATATTGATACTATAAAGTTTACAGAGTAACAGTGACGTTGTAAGGTGGAGATATCCGAAGATTAATGACACTTAAAAATAAAGTTACATAATGGGTTACAATAAAGTTATAACAATTATGGATAAATATAACATGGAAATGTCATGACATGACGAAATTATTAACTTCCCACAGTCATGTAGAGTTTGAAAGAAACTGAAGCCCAAAAATGAAAGGTTGCTTCTAAGACTCTCCAAATGTTACTTTATAGAATTCTATCATCAACTAAGGAATAAAATTCTCTCGACATTTAGTGACATACAGAATTGTCACTGTTCATTTGGTCATTGTATTAAATAATAGCTCGATGTCCTACTTACCCAGACTGCGGGTAGCATTTATTACATTCAAAATCATTTGGGCATGCTGAGGAATATTTCTCTTTGGAAAGAACTGTATCGTCTTTAATTTTTAAACCGTCTGTTTTTGACCAATGTCCAATCTGAAGCAATGACATACACTTACGAACAACCCGTGTACATAATGTGGAATTGTTATAAACGACAATTTTAATTTCACTCAACACTCATTGTCGAATCCTGCGAATATAATACTTTTAAACCTTCAGGCGAAAATTGTAAAAAAAATGCAACTCTTCACTTCAGAAGCATAATCATAGGAATATGGCATAGTTCGTTCATAAGTAATGCTATAAAACTTTTCAAACCTGTTTCTTCCTATTACTCTGATAGATAACGTTACCCCCC